CCTAGAAGGGCAAGACCTCGAGTTCACCAGGCTCGTAAACAAGAACACGAGCCGGACCCAAACTGCGAGAACCCAGTTCACCGAGCTCACGTGCAGCCCAAACCCGAAATGCAGAGGGACACAAGCTCACAGAAAAGAGTACGCAACTGCACCAAGCTCAAAGGCGAGCCCGAACTCGAAAAGCAGAGGAACACAAGCTCACAGAACAGAGTGCACGACCGCACCAAGCTCGAAGACGAGCCCGAACTCACAGAAAAGAGTACACAGCTGTACCAACCTCAAAGGCGAGCACGGACTCGGAAGGCATAACCTCACAGAAAAGAGTACACAACTGCACCAAGCTCAAAGGCGAGCCCGAACTCGAAAAGCAGAGGAACACAAGCTCACAGAAAAGAGTGCACGACTGCACCAAGGTCGAAGACGAGCCCGAACTCACAGAAAAGAGTACACAGCTGTACCAAGCTCAAAGGTGAGCACGAACTCGAAAAGCATAAGCCCACAGAAAAGAGTACGCAACTGCACCAAGCTCAAAGGCGAGTTCGAACTCGCAAGTTCACAAGTGCTTCAGAAACGAGTGCACAAGCTGGTCCCGAGCCAAAACCGAACATACTTAGTGAACCGACTCTTGTCGGACCGATCGCCCATCTCGCTCAGCGGCTGTCTCCTCGCTCCTTCTCCAGCCCCTCTTTCTCTCTCTCTTCTGTGCCAACGTGGTTGAGGACAGTGCCAACATATGTGAGGCACAAGATACCGCAGTGGACGCCGAAGATACCGTTGGCACAAGCCTTTTTCTGACGACAATAAAGAGGACGAGAGCCTCAACATGTGGTTGAGGACAGTGTCAACGTATGTGAGGCACAAGCTCACACGGCCCGAGGAGGAGCTGATCGTCACTGCATCCTACTTGGAGGGATCTGCAGCTAGATGGTTAGATGGGTTAGTACAGCAGCATGACTACGGTCAGAACTTCGACGGCTGGGCACAAGCCCAGAGTCTGGAGGAGTTCGTACAGTTAGTTCAGGAGAGGTGGCATGACCCGCAGGAGGCGCAAAAGGCCACCGACTCGCTTACCAACCTGGGATCAAGAAGATACAGGTCTGTTCGCGAGGTTACTGATGCTGTAGATCGACTGATCGTTGTCCCAGGCGTACGGTACGATCCGCAAGTCCTCATGACCACTTATTTGTGATGTCTGCCCACAGATGTCAAAAATAAGGTGGTCGATGAGGCCTCCATCGATGTTGTAGCGGTCCCTCTGAGGCCCGGCAGCTAGGCCGGTCCAGTCAGGCCGTCGGCCTGATCCTGGTTCGGTACCACTGTTCTTCCCAGCACCTGGACCTAGGCTGGTATATCACTCCGGCCTAGGCCCAGGTCGGGGGTTGCTCATTCATGGATTTGATTGGACATTCCCACGTTCAGCTGCTGCCTCCTTGTGTGTCCATTACTCTCTCCCTCATCTCCATCTCCGCATG